GGCCGACTCGATTTTGGGAACGCCGCTGGACCTAATCTCTGCCAGATCGATCGGGTTAGTGGACCGAATAAAATCAATCGTTAATGGCCGGGAGAGGCTTTGCGTTTTCTGGCTACGACTTACAGTTTGATAGCTTGAGAAAAGTGACGAGAACTATTACTGGGGGACCTCGGTACTTGCACACGTGCTCCCTCTTGTTGAAAGTGGAGAGTAGTTTTTTGAGGAGTTTTATTGAAATTTTGGGAAGAGTCGTTTTTGATGACTGTAGATTTACTGTTATTCCATGGAAGATTGTAATTTTATATTTATTTATTTGATAGAGATTGATGGGTACTAGTTCTTTGATTATTATTTATTTACACGGATATTGTCATTATCTATTCAATGATTGAAGTCTTTAATCATTGACACGTTGAATACTGAATGATCTCATGAGTTTTAATACACAGAGTGAAAATAATATAGTATCGAATTATTTAATTGGATTCCGTCATTATTCTTGCACGATTATCTCGTTAAATGTGGCAGCTTCAATTGCATTATTGATCGAGTGGATTATAATAATTTGATTCGGTTGGGTGTCACCGGTAATCATGACAAAGAATATTTTAATGAAAAGCTCTTAATGTTCTTAACGAAAAGTGGCATTCGATGTTTGAAGACACCGCTGAAACTGCTTCGTCTAATTGCAACGAAGTTCATTTCATTTCGCGCGCGATCATTCGGAAGCTCGCGATCTTGGGAATTTAGACGGGGGACAACAATTGTCCTGGCAGACGTTCGTTGACTCGAAAAACGTACTAATTACGAGATAGACGTAAATATTCCGCTGGGAATTGTTCGCGCGGGCCAGACGGATCTATATTCCCGCGCAGCGTTCCGAGCGTGGACTCGCTAATTTTCAAACTGTACATGTGTAGCTGGGAACTCTTACTACCGGGCGAAAAAGAGTAGCAAGGGTAGCTGCCAGCGAGTTTCTAACTTCGCGAGAAATATTTGCAGAATGAAGTTCCGCGCTGCTCGCAGAATAACACTTCGCTCGAGCACCGAGCGGTGGGTTTATTTGTTGAACGCTCTAATTTCTTCCAGTTAGAATAAAAGAAGAGGGGTAGGACAAGGGGGTGGAACGAGGAGGAAAGGAGAAAGAGGGAGGGAGGTGGGCAGGGTTTGTATTAAGGGACGCAATGAAGAAAAGTTTATAAACTTCGCTGGGACGAGCTGTGCGATGTTTACTGAATTTACTCTTATATTCTAACGTCAACTGTTTACACTTTTCATACCTCAGTATTTCTTTAATTGCTTTTTATACATCGACGATCGATCGTCGGGGGTTTTTCAAGGGTTTGGCGACGCTATTGCTTCGCCACGCAATATTGAATGTAAGATATATGGAAACATTATTAAAGCTGTAGGTAAAATGTGACGTGAAAAGGCGTCATTGGTAGTGACCGTGTTAACTAATCATTGAAGATCAATAAAAAATATCAATCACGTGTGAAGAGTTTGTCTCGAGTGATATGGTAACTTCTTTCAGAGTCGTATTCATTTTTTTTTATTAGTATAATAACAAAGAAGCTTGTTGATCGATTTTTTTCTTACAGGTGAAGTGTTGACTGATATCATTTATCATAATTTTCAGAAATGTATTAAGTGTGTTTGATAAAGAATGATCTTCTCCAGTTAATTATAGTTGTATCTATAAGCTAACAATCCTTTTTCTAACCAAGAGACACTTCATTTCGACATTGCTACCTTTTTAAACGAATTTCACAGAAGAACAGCGGACGCGGCGACTCGATGATCGACCTGAGGCCGCTTGTTTATTCCAGTGACACGGAATAAAACCGCGGGGAACGATCGTTTGTCAGATAGCGAAGAGCCTGGACATAACTCAGAGCAATCATACTTTCATGTATGATCGTTGGCGCGGAATTTCTGCCCGCTTAATAATATATATGAACCAATTCAGAACGTGAAGACGGCCTGCGCTAGCGTTTTACGCTAGATTAATTCAACGAAGAAGGATTCATTGGAAGGTTAATACGGTAAGAATTCAATTTTAACCGGCAAGAGGAACAGTAAAGTCGCGGGTATATTATAAAAAGCTCCCTTAAAAGCTTTCTCCATCGAAAATCATGAAATCGGTCAATATTTGTATCAAACACTTGCTGTAACCACAGTTCAACTGTTTCATTTCCATTCGAACAATTAGAAGTACAAATTACATTCATCTCAGTAGTCACAAAATCGTATTAAACGTTACTTTCTGTTACATACAATAATTTGCTGTTAAAGAACTTAACAAAAACCACGGAAAAAGTCAGTCCTTTAGGCGAGGCGTCTCAATTTCATATAACAAAATTATAAATTCCAACATACTATATTAAACTTCTTACAATACTTCAATACCTGAAACAGTCAAGTAAAATAACTTTCAAAAAATGTGGAACGCTTCAAACAGAAAACTTCCTAACGCAAAGGGTTAACAATCGCTTCGTCCCTTTCCACCGCGACACACCTAACACCGCCGCGCACCGCAAATTTGTTCAATACACTTTCAGCCCTCCGACTTCCTGCCAAACCAAGTAATCCTCTCGAACCGAAAAAATCATGCATTCCCTCTGCTCGCAGCCCGAAAATCCAATAAAAACCATTAGAACGACCTCTAACTAATGACTGCCGCCGCCGGATCGACCCGGTGGACCTCCGATATCGATCCCGGGACGGGATCGATCGCAAAAATCGCGGCACGTCCGCGGGGCCGGCCGTTTTCGGGGGCTTTTACCGAAATGAAAAGCCATCGAGGGACGACCGGCCGGGGGGTGGGGGTGAGCGTTTAACGAGGTAACCCTCGGCCGAGTTCCGCGGGGATTAATCGATCATCGGCCGCGATACACTCGAAACGGCCTCCGTTGGAACAAACAATCCTCGAGGAGATCCACCGAGGGGCCGGAAAAGAGCGGGGAGCGGGGAGGGGAGGGGGAACGATAAGATAAGGCTCGGTCGAATTTCTTTTCCCCCGGTAGTCCGTCGCCGAGATCCGACGATAGCTTTCACTATGATTACTGGGACCGGTTAATCGAGTCGCGCCACTAAATCGCTCGTTTTACCCCGGTATCGAATCGACCGATCGATTGGCAACGGTACCGAGGAACGGACAGAACGGCGGCCAGGGTGGCGGGGGCGGAAGAATCCCCAGCGAGGACTCGGACAATGATAAAAAGCCACGTTAACGGTATTCGGTAAGTTTCTTTTATTTCACCCCCGACTCTTTCTCTCCTGTTTTCTTTTCCTGTTCTGCCTTTTTCCCCGGGGAAAAAGCGAAATGGTGTTTGATGTTCGACGAAAAGGGGAAACGGTAATGGAATGTTTAATGGGGGATTGTAGCGGATTTCTGGGGATTTTGGAACTGGGGAAAATTGTCAATCTGATTAACACGTTCACTGCTGTGGTGGTTGAATTTGTTAGATTAGAAAGATGATCGTCGTTGAATGAAAATATTTAACCCTTTACTCGAAAGGTGACTCTCGGTCACCATTTGATGTGATATGACAAATTACAAAGCGGTGTATGTAATATTGAGTTCTGTATAATGCATCAATATGTGAAATATTTATATAAAATAGCTTTGTCTCTTAACATATGAATGTTTTCGTATTAGCTCGTTTCGAACGGTGTCGTCTATGTCTCATCGGAAAGTGTCGAATGTTTCTATTGAAAAGCTTCCGAATGCAAAAGGTAGATAGTGATAATAACTAGATAATTGTGTGATGCAACATAATTTTTTGATCGTAAATTATTGATATTTACATCATTCTTGTCTACGAAATAAGTGGTACTAAAGGCTCAGAATGTAAACGGTAGTCAACGCGTTAAGGATTTTTATCAATTCCCAATGCACTCTAGAAAGTTTCTACTTAGAAGATTTGATTGTTTTCTTACTCAAAGGTCCAGGCAAATGTAGCATCAGCTGGATTTCTTTCGATTAAACTTATTGAAACAAAACATCACACGGAGATCCTCTTTCCAGTGACCATCTCAAAAACCAAAGCTTCACGAAAATTTCCGCAGTGGCAAATTGTTTAATCCCGAACTTCTTGCGGCTGAAACGCTTTCGGTGTTCTTAGCAAGATCTCTATCGCGAATGCCCGCGGTAACAAATTTAATCCAGAGTTTTCTTGCGAGTGAAGAACGACCTGGACGTTCAAGAAGAAATCGCTTCACCCTCGTCAACCCTATGGCTCGGGTCAGGCAACGATTTCGGTCTTCTTCGTTCCGGCTGGCCGTCCGAAATCGTGGCGGAGAGACAGGAAAACACGGGAATCCGGCGTAGATCCTGTTGAGGATCCACGGTTCGTTCCGAGCGGCGGTTTCACGCGTTCCGTCTGATGAGGGTGTAATTTTCAGCTGTTCTTTTACATCCAGTAGCCGGTTCGGTGTGTCACACTGTCAGAAATCCTTTTTACGGAAACTTTTACTTCACAGAAAACAATTGATCATGATTTCTACTACTATAACACTAATTTGGCGCAAAGTTTACGGATATTTATTGTACAGGTTAATACATTGTTGATATTCGTTGATTTGGATCTTGGAAATTTGAAATTTGAATAAATAATTAAGATACATGTTCTAGTAACTTCATGAATTAAAATAGATATAAGCATTTTATAAATGATGTATGCAAAATTCAATATGCGTTAAATCGTCGTGCTCCGTAAAGCTAGTTATAATTATACTCTAATCAATAATAATACTAATTTGTACTGAAATCGTAGAGGAATTTGTTTGAAATGTCATTTTCAAATCGTTCCATTTAGTTTTGATTTCATTTCCTCCTTCTGAGAGAAGTCTTTCGAGATTGAAGTTTATATAGGGTGAAATACACTCCTGATTTATTACATTTTTGTGGGTTTATAGGAAAAGCTTTGGAATGAACGTTGAAAACGAGTGCGCTCTTGACTCTATTACTTTAATGTGGTTTTATTAGAACTGCTCGGGAAGCGAATTGTCTAATTCAATGAAATTTTTATTGTTACATCTCGAGTGGTACGTATGAAAATGAATTTGAGGCTCGCGAAATGGCTGAACGGACCTTTTATTGTAGCCGGTTATAATGCACATTTAAAATTAATCTTGCGTTAAATTACGTTCCTCGGATTTCTTCGTTTAACAGAACACTTGCCATTACGCGCCGCGAAGTACGTTTAAATTGAATTGAAGATAGAAGTTAAGATTGAATTTTTCAAACGTAACCTGCCTTTCACCGCGGTCTCCTTTGAAGCACATTTCGACGGAGAATGGTGTTTCCCTGTGATCTTTTATTTATTTATTTATACCGTTCGCTAAAGGACTAATGAAAGAACAGGAAGAAGTTGAACGATGTTTTTACATTTTTAGTCATAATACCGCCATTATGGCGGGCATTTGTTCCCTCAAGCGTTCTTGGGAGTTCACTCAGACTATAGCGAAGTGCAACGCTAATTTTTATCACTGAACGGAGTTTTTATGCATTCTGAAATGCATTCAGAAATAAAGCAAAGTGTATAGAAGTACACCCTTTAGTTTTTACTCTGACGCTTGCTTAATTACATCGCCGCCTTTGACCCGCGCTCTAGCACCCTTGAAGGAAACTTTAACTTAATAAATGTGTTACTAAATACCCTTGTACATACACAATTTCCTTTAATCTACCAAAAATATGAACTTGCAATGAAAACAGTACAATAAAGGATACTAAATAATCCATGTCAACGAGTCATAATAGTTCTACGTAGACTGTAATTCGTGTACGAGTTAAAAACACAGGTCATTTTAATGAAGAAGAAGAGAAGCTTATTTTAATCAACAATCGAACGATACCTTGGAATTGGATTCGTCCCGGTGTACGATGAAATGAACAAAGGGAAAGAGCAAACATATTTTCCCGTTAAAAAAGATCAATTTCACAGGGTGGATAACTCAATTAGCCATTCGACAAGAGCGGAACAGTAACGAATGGGGCCGTCCGTGGGTGGTGCAGGTAATTTTTTAATTCCGCTGCTTTCGCAATCTTCGTTTGTAACGAATCCCTGGTATTATCGGGGCTACGAGTAACGGGTTCATGAATACTGTAACACGCCGAAGGGACGTCGCGAACGAAAATTGTGCCGCTGGAAGCCCCCTAATGAGATATTCAAACTTTGTTTATCCTGCCCGGTCTCGCATACTTCAAACAGCCCTCGAATCTTTGGAATGTAAAGTAGCTTCGATTCTCCCGATTAAAAAATGGATATAGTTTCACGCCTCTGGAAAGTTTCCGAAAGATGTATTCGTGTCTTTAATAATTGAAGATTTCTGGGGATGAAGAGTTCGTGTTAGTAGCATGAATCCTTCATCCTCTGAATCTTTCAATTACTAGAGTTAATAAATGTCCAAGAGAATCGTTAATAATATTCATATGTGAAAGGGAGTGAAGCAGGCAGTGAAGAAGTAAAATAGTTGAATTTTACTTACGAAAAATTTAGGTCATTCGAAATTCAGTTATTGTAAAATTTGAATCATTCGAAGCTCAATCACTCTAGAATCTGAATCGTTAATAATTCAGTTATTCTAAAATTTAAATCACTCGAAGTTCAATCACTCTAGAATCTGAATCATTAAAAATTCAGACATTCTAAAATTTGAATCATCCTAAATTCAATCACTCTGGAATCTGAATAATTCAAACTTCAGTCATTTCAGTATGTGAATCATTTGAAGTTCAATCACTCTAAAACCTTAATAATCTGAAATACAGTCATTGTAAAATTTGAATCATTCAAAGTTCAATCACTCTAGAATCTGAATCATTAAAAATTCAG